AGGGTTTCTGAGGAGCGCCTGGGTAAATTGAACTGCCAACCTTGCAGTTCATACCAACCTTGTAGTCAAATGCTTATCCCACAGCGTCACACGTAGAGTGAATTAATTGCCAGACGTGAACTATTAGTCTGGAAAAAAAAAAAATTATGCACAGCACATCACTGTTCTCAAGTAAGTGGCTTTGTACAAGGTTGGAATAAGGTAGAAAAAACAGAGTTGATGGTATCAGTGTTTGCTGCCCATGGCATCTCATTCCATCGTGGCCTATAAAATAGAACAATAAACACTGAGAAACAAAAGGAACCTCAGTGATCATATAATATAACAACTTTCATTACTTCAATGAGAAAACTGAAGTGCAGTTGAGCTATTGCTATCTATTCCTAGCTGTCACTCTGATCAGTTAGAAATAGAATTCAGGTTTCTTGACTTCTGGCTCAGTATTTTTTTAAAAATTCATTACTTAGTTATATGATTAGGAGTGGGGGTAAGCATAAATGCATACTTCATTTTGAATTTTTTTGGTATCGATCCTTTCATATAATAGAAGTCAGTTTATCATGTCAATTTTGGGTTTACAGACTTTATTTCCTCTTCTCTGAATGCCTTTTCCCTGTCTGTATACTTAGTCCCATTCTCTTCTTCCACCCCTAGTCCCTTAAGTCCACTTTGTGAACTTACCGTTTAAGGTTCAGATCAGAATTCACTTGTTACAAGTTTCCCCCAGTGCCCAGAGCATGCTTTTGAAATTGTTTTCTGCCCTGCCTGTTAGACCAAACATCTTGTGCTTTGTATTCTTATTTCTGATGTGTTTTCCACATCAATGAGTCTTTGAGCTTATAATTTCGATTATGACCAATTAGTTGCTTTATAAGAAGAAAAGGCTTAAATAAACCTTTTTCCTCTACCCTCTAGCTTAAGAAACCTTTCTGAAGCACAATTATGATCATATCTCCACTTTAAAATTCTTCACTGGCTTCCAGGGCCCTCAGGAGCAAGGGCAAACTACTTCACATGACTTGCCAAGTCTTTCATGTGTCAGGCTTCTGCTACCTTTCTATAGTTCCGTGTCATGCTATTTTTTTCCTTAAACTCTGTGCCCAAGCCTTACCAGTGCACTAAGAGACCATGTTCTCTCTTCCCTTGGAGTCGTCTTATGCTCCTTCCTCTGCCTGGAACACACTTCTCTCGCTGCCCCAAGTCCCTCTCCTCCTTGTTGTTAAGTGCCATCAAATCAGTTCCAACTCATAGCAGCCCCGCATAGGGTTTCCAGGGAGCAGTTGGTGAGTTTGAACTGGCGACTTTGTGGTTAAAACCAACTTTGGTTTTATCCTACAGTGCCACGCCAGGCCTTTCCTTCTCCTAGTTACCTCCTATTCATCTTTAGGACTCAGTTTAGGTGTCATTTCCTCCAGGGCCCCTCCCCCCCTTTATGCATGTGTGCATGCACACACATGTATACATTCACACTTTTCCTGTATTCTTCATTGTTGTTGTTGTTGTTAGTGCCGTCAAGTACGTTCAGACTCATAGCAACCCTGTATAGTGTTTCCAAGGAGCGGCTGGTAAGCTTAAACCACCAACCTTGCAGTTCAAACGACCTTGCAGTTCAGCACGTTAGCCCACAGCACCATAACTTGTTATCACACTGAATTATAATTTCCTGTTTACTTGTGTTCCCTAATTATCTATTAATGCCTGGGGCCTGGGGTCTATGTGAGGGGCCTTCCGAAAGTTCATTGAAAAATTCCATTATCTTCTAATTCCATTCTTATATGAACTTTTTGAACCCCCCTTGTTTATTGTTTGTGATTGTTTTCCTAGTGCCTACTATGGTGCTGTGGGTTAATGTGATGGACTGCAAAGTCAGTTTGAACCACAAAGTCAGAGGTTCAAGCTCCTCAGTCCCTAGTTGGAAACCCTATATAGGGTTGCTATGGGTTGAAATCAACTTGATGGTTCTTAACAACAAGACCTGGTTACCAAGCACCTGTGATGCTGTAGGATAAGAATTACATTGCTAACCACACGGTCAGCAATTTGAGCCCACCAACTGCTCCTCAGGAGAAAGATGAGGCTCTCTGCTTCCGTAAAGATTTACTGCCTCAGAAACCCTATACAGGGTTGCTATCAGTTGGAACTGATTTGAAGGCACCCAACAACAACAATAACAATAAGGGAGCTTATAAAGGGAAACCCTGGTGTCATTGTTGGATAAGCACTGAACTGCTATTCACTTTCTGCTGCTGTAATGATTTACAGCCTCTGAAATCCTATATAGGTTTGCTATTACTTGGAATTGACTCAGTGGCAGTGGGTTTTAAGTATTCAGTAAAAATGTGCAGAATAAAATTGAAGTGTTGTTTCCTAATCTAGTTTTCAGAATCTTGTTCCCCAGGATGGTGAAAGGAATGCCATGGGAAAAAACAGAGCCCCCATATTAAATAGGAAAATACACTGAATTTTCAAGGAAGAACATATACTGTACTTCACTGTACTTGATAGCAGTGGTTACCAAATGCCATTGTGGTTAACCCCAGAAGTTTCAGATTGAGTGAATGGGGCCCAGAAATCTGTCGTTTACAGTTGCCCAAGTCATTCTAATGTAGGGCCAGATTTAGAAACCACTGGCGTTCAATGATTGCAAAGATAATGGAGTGAAAATATGTGATGTGTTTAGAATCGTGCCTGGTACTGCCCCTATTATTGTTGTTGTCATTATAGTTGCATTTACCCATGAAATACCTTTGTGGTATATTTATTAACTTTTCTCAAAATCTAATTTGAAAAAGGTTGAATTAAACCTCAGGATATGCTGATGACAAGGAGCTCTGATAGTGTAGTGGTTACGAGTTGGACTGCTAACCTCAAGGTCAGCAGTTCGAAACTACCAGCCATTCCGCGGGAGAAAAAGATGAGGCTTTCTGTTCCCGTAAGGCTTTACAGCCTCGGAAACCCTGTGCAGGGTCACTATGATGACACCCTGTGCAGGGTGCTGATGACACACAGATCTCTAGCTCTAGCTCTGACTTCTTCTGACTTCAAGACTTGGCTGCTGAATTGCCTACTGGACGTTTTTATCTGGATGCCTTGCAGGCACTTAAAAGATATTCTAAATCAAATTTCACCCTAAACCTGTCCTTTTGTAATATTTCGTATTCGTGTGTTTGACAGAGCAGTGGGTTAAACATTGAGCTGCTAACTAAAAGGTCAAGTGGTTTCAACCCACCAGCCTCTCAGTGGGAAAAAGATGAGGCAGTCTGCTTCCATAGAGATTACAGCCTCGGAAACTACATGAAGAAGTTCAACTCTGTCCTATAGTGTCACAATGACTAAGAATCTTCTCAGTCAGAAATCTTTGGGGTTTTTTTTTTCTTTTTGTCTTACGTCGTTACCTCCTGTCCCAGTAAATTCTGAGCCCTCCACACCTTTTTTAATTAGCCTTTTTAGTCTGAGGTAATTTTAAATTTACATGCAGTCGTAAGAAATAATTTAGAGATACAGAGAGATCTCGTGTACCCTTTACCTTGAATAACTTAATTTCTTTACTTTTTGCACATGTGTGAATACCCCCATTTTTCATCTGTTGTTTTGTTTTTTATTCTTTTGGTTTTTGCCTTCCCCTTCACCCAAGTTAATATGTGTTTAACTTCTAGTTAGTGATTTGCCCTCTTTTCCTCTTCCTCCCTGGTAACCATCGAATAATGTTTCTGTTAGTATGAAAACCTTTCTTGACTCTTTATAATAGGGTCTCTTACCATATTTGTCCTTTTTGTGGTTGACTTCTTTCACTCAGCATAGTGCCCTCCAGGTCCATCCATGTTATCTGGTGTTTCACAGATTCATTGCTATTCTTTAATGTTGTGTAGTGTTCCTTTCTATAATGTACCATAGTTTGTTTATCTACTTTTCCATTGATAGGCATTTAGATTGTTTCCATATTTGTGCTATTGTGAATAGTACTATGAGTGTGCAATAGAACAAGAGTGTGCAATCTATCTATTCTTGTCAATACTATTTCTCTAGGATATATACCTAGTGGAAGGATTGCTGGATATATGGTATTTCTATTTCTAGCTTAAAAGGAAGGCCATACCATTTTTCACAGTGACTGTACCATTTTACAGTCCCACCAGCAATGTATGAGGGTTCCAGTCTTTCCACACACTTTCAAGCATTTATGGGTTCTTTGAACTTTGCTATTAATGCTGGCGTAAGAGAATTTCACAGATTAATTCTGTGTCTGATATGTAATTGCCAAGATTTTTTTCCCAGTATGTGGATTCTCTTTTTACTCTTTTGATGAACAAGCTAGAAATCTTGACGTCAACTTTCGTGTGTGTTTCTTCCTCTTTTATTATGTCCAGTCAACCACAAATCCTACTTGTGCTGCTTTAGAAGTGTCTCTCAAATCCATCCCTCCATTTCCATTTTTATATTACCATGCCATTTCTAAGTGCTACTTCCTTTTCCTAACCTTTGCCCCTCTGCCTGGCAAACTGCTGTTCGTGCTTAAATGACAGTGCCTGCCACCCCCCTACTACTGACCAGTAAAGCCTTCCTCAACTAAAACAGAAGAGCATGTTCTCTCATCTTGTCCCAGAGCACTGTGCACACAGCTTTATTATAGCACTTAATCACTTTCTATTTATTTACCTTTGTTGCCTCATCTGATGTCCTTCTCTCCCACTAGTGTGAGAGGCACTTACAGTCAGGCACCATGTGTGAGTTATTCTGTTACCTCCCAGCACTAGCTTAATGCCTGGCACATAGTTGTTGTTAAGTACTGTAGAGTCACTTCTGAGTCATAGTGACAGTGACCCCTTATAGGGTTTCCAAGGAGTACCTGGTGGGTTTGAACAAACAACCTTGCAGTGTTTGTCCTACCGCACCACACCAGGACTCCTAGCATGTAGAAGGAGTTCAGTAAACATTTGCTGTAATTTAAAGAGCTGAAAAAAAAAGGCTAAAACTAGCACCTTTCTTTTCTCTTTCAACAGAGATTAGTGCTGAGGAGCAACTAAGACTCCTGCAAGAGGAGAAGCTTTGCAAAATCTGTATGGATAGAAATACTGCTGTCGTTTTTATTCCTTGTGGGCATCTGGTCACTTGTAAGCAATGTGCTGAAGCAGTTGACAGATGTCCCATGTGCTACACGGTCATTACTTTCAAACAAAAAATTTTTATGTCTTAATCTAACACCACAGTAGGCATGTTTGAATTTGTAATGTGAACTGACTTTAAGTTATCAATATTGAATTCCGTTAACATTTGCTACCCAAGAAGAAAACAGAGTGTAAACAGTAATGTTTTAGTTAGTATTCTAAAATTTCAATTTATGGAGTTTTCAGGAAATTGGCTATATTAGTTATCTCTTTGTTTTCCTTACTGTTATTCCATTGAAATCCTAAATTAAGAAGCATCATATTCTATATGATCACTATGTGTATTTGCAGTGCACTTACTTGATTTGTAAGTATAAGTGAATTAGAATAGAATCAAGTGAAGTCTTTATTCAGAGAGGCTTAACAAACGGAGCATTCTGTGTAAACATGGTGATTTAGATTTTATCTCACAAAACACATAGTTTGTTACTTGTGAAAAAGGAATGGATTGTTCCACACTGGCAGAAAGATGGAGATTAGCTTTAGATTTTTGTCTTTATGTTTTAAGGTTGTGTTCATTTTGTTTCAAAATTATACACATGTATTTGTGTGAATCATTTAAAGGTGATTTTGCCATTTTTAAAAGATCATTTAAATGATAGACTACCATCTAGCCTACCTGTACTGACATGGAAGATGTCAAAGAGATATGTTAAGTGTAAAGTGCAAGTGGCAAACACTCTGTCTAGTATGAGCCAAACTAAGGTGTGTATGTTTTGAATATGTATAGACCAAAAGGTTTGGAAAGATCCGCACCAAACTGGTAAGTGTTTCTCTTGAGGGGGTGGGAGGTGGGTTCCAGAGGGGCTTTACCAGGGCCTTTCACTTTCTACTTTTTTCATTTTTTTCTGTTTAAATATTTTATAAGTATGTATTAATTTTGTAATCAGAATTTTTAGAAAATATTTTACTGATTTAAAGGCTTAGGCATGTTCAAACGCCTGCAAAACTACTTATCGCTCAGCTTTATTTTTTCTAATCCAAGAAGGCAGAGCAGCTAACCTTTTTGGTACCAATGTGAAATTTAAATTTAAATACTCTTGTTTCTCCTGCTTTATGGATGAAAAATATTGCTGAGTGGTAGTTTTCTGACAGGTAAGACCATGTCTTCTTCTCTTGTTTCAAAATAAATATTTCTGATTTTGTAAAATGAAATATAAAATATGTCTCAGATCTTCCAATTAATTAGTAAGGATTCATCCTTAATCCTTGCTAGTTTAAGCCTGCCTAAGTCACTTTACTAAAAGCTCTTTGTTAACCCAGTATTTTAACCCTCTGTCAGCTGCTATAGGGAAAAGTAGAAGCATGTGTGTACACTGCTCGTAGTTATAGTCCAGCTTTCCATGTTGAGATTCTCCTATCATCTCGTATCTTAAAGTTTTATGTGAATTTTTACCATTAAGAGGATTGTTTAAAGTGTATATAGGACACAGTGTCATCTTTCCTCTACCTAAAAATTTTTGTTGCTGTTTCCTTGGCTAGTAATAGTAGTAGATACTTCTGAAATACTCTATCGAGATCCTTAGAACCTCTTGGAAATTACAAAATACAAGAAAAGAAAAATCACTGTTTAAATATTTTTAAAAAACATTTTAACCACTTGAATAAGAGTTCAAATGGGTAAAAACAGAGGTTTAAAAATGCTTCATAGACCACCCAGGGTATATATTACAAGATTCTCACAGTGACCTGTTGTAGAGGTAAAGTGAGGCATTTTACTGCAGAGATAAGTTTAAGAATGAAACTGTTCAAAATTATATTTTCATTGTATTTTCTAAAAGAAAGAATATTGTCATGTTCTAACCTGTTGATTACTACTTTAAGTGATATATATTTAAAGTGTTTCAAATTTAAATGAGAATTCTTAAAAGTTAAATAATGACTGTCCTGTTTTTATTTCTCATGTAAGTCCTCAGTTCTTTACCTTTACACTGTCTTCTAACAAACTTTAGTGATGCAAGTATATTCATTAAGTTAAATTTGACAGGTACCACCTAAGCTTTAAGTTTAAATTTAGAGTTATCTACAAGGGGAAAAAAGTGTTCAAGCTTATGAAGTGTGTTTTTTCAAGATACTTCATTCAACTCCAGGTCAACTAGTTAGTTCAGTGTAGTTGCTTGCCAAGGACTGAATTGTTTTATTTTAACATAAGGCTTTTCCTGTTCTGAAAGCCTCAGTTCATGACAACTCTTCTTTAAAAACTTTTATGTTTAGAGTTAAGTAAGATCTTCCCCCACCCCCAATGAGTTATGAAATTTAATACATGAAGTCGATGAAGCTAACAGGTTTATTTTAAGAATTGTTTTAAAATGCTGTTGCTTCAGTTTCTTAAATCACTCAGCACTCCAACTACTTAATCAAATGTTTGTGATTTACCAGTCTTTGTTCGATGTTTTTATTATGGATCCTTCCCATTAATTGTATAAAATTGATCATTTTCAAAGCCAAAAATATAACCAATTCCAACTCCCTCCCCTAAAAAAAAAATTAGTTCTCGATATCTACATGTGGACATGTGGACGTTCCTTTTCTGTATAAAGTTCATTCTAGGATTTCGAAGTCACTACCTATTTTACTCTATATTAGTCTTGTGAAGAATCAATTTGTTTAGTTATGAATAATTATAATAATGCTGATCAAAATGTCTTGACTTGATTTTGGAAAAATTAATGTTTATAAAGTGAATTCCACTTTATTTAATGGCTTTGTATTGTCTTTCCTGCTAGAGTTTTGTCTTCCCCACTCCCCTTTTGGTTAGGAGCTAAAATGGGGTTGGGTAGGTGTATATAATGTAACTGTGCCCTGTATATTATGACTTTGAGTTGTTTTGTTGTTGTATGATTTAAACCTTGAAAGTTGTTTTTTCCTTTTGAACTCTGAATGGAGACTACCACCACAGCATTGGTTGCATACATTGTACCTTTTAGACCCAAACCACTATTTTATTCAATGTCTTGGTCTTGAATCAGGAAAGGAGTAGACGATGTGGGAGAAATGGAATAGGTTATGTATCATTTCCACTAGAGAAAAAAAAATGGGAAGGAATATTTACAGATGTTCTGTTAAGTCAAATCTGCTTTAAAAAAAAAAAAAAGTAGCCATTTCTTCATATGTGAAATGAAGCAAATACTGCCTATCTCACGAGATTATGAGAGTTGAAGACCATATATGTAAAGCACCTATATATATTATAAATGTTATTTTCTTCCTAACACTGTTTACCCTCCATAGATTTGCCTTGACCTGGAAGTTTGGACAGAAACCCAGAAGAAATTCTTACATACTTGCTTGAGACAAAAGCTTGAAGAAATACTTACATGATAGTTCTTTCAGGGACTCTTACTCATCTTTGTTCATGTTTCTCAGTCATACTTAATATGTAAATTACAGTATATAATTAAGCAAAATCCATGAAAGTATTTAAATTTCTTTTTTTTTTAATTAAAAAAATATATTACTCATAAAATTACTGGAACTTTTCTTATAAAAGCAACTGGTTTGGTTCCACCTTAATAATCAGTCTCAGTTTGACTGCCATATGCTTATTAGCACAATGGGAATTTCATTCGCAGCATATTGAAATCATAGCGTTCAGGGCCAGAAGTGGTCTTAACGAGTATCTGATGTGCCCCCCTCATTTTACAGGGCAGACATCTAAGACTACAAGCTAGTTAGTAGCAGGACCAGGACTGGGACATAGTTTGGAGATGAAAGTTCATAAAACTACCTATCCTGGGAGGTCTCAAGTATTTCTTGTCAACTATTCTTCCCACTACATCACAACTGTCACTATATATTCAATGATACTTCATGACTAATACAATAGGACAATCTTAAATACATCTAACTTCCAGTTGTACAATTGCTACATTAATGTTTGGGTGGTAATAGTCTATTTTGAAGTCTTTACTTTTTCAAATCTGCATATAGATTTTTGGCATTTACTACATTCTGTATTGTTAATCGAAATTTTAAATTACTATATAAATTTATTTTATGTTAGTAACAAATTTGCATTTTTAATACGATGTCGCAAAGGCTCTAATGTCATCTCTGTTAGAAGATTTTGGGTTATTTTTCTTTACTGGTATATTTAATCTGGCAGAATGACTGATTCTTATGTTGCGTCAGTGTTGTGAATAATCATGTGGAATGTTTTGAGATAGAGTACTATATTTGTGGATATAATTTTATTGATTTTTTATTCTCGTTTAGTAGGCACCTTTCCATCAGTATGGAAAACTAAGAAAATTGCTTTCCACTGTATAATCTGGCAGTCATCATAGATTAAAGCTTATTTTTATCTAAATAAAGCTTATTCAATAAAGTTCTATTCTTTAAAGTGGTATAACTGTGTATTTTTTTCACTTTCTCAGAAAAAATAAAATAGTCCTCTCAAGATACTAAAATGTAACCCTTCCTAAATATATCTTATGTCATGTGACCAGTCATAAGGTACACATCAGGTCAGATCATATAAAACAATTTTGAAGCATTAGTTTTCATGTTCATGGGATTTTATAAGTGCATGATAAGTCTACTTTTTAAATCTATAAAAATATGAGCAATAAGAATACTTCCTCTAAACAAGGTATGGTTGTATAGGATAAGAACTAGACTGCTTACCAAAAGTTCAGCAGTTCAGACCCACAAGTCACTTCTCAGAAACCCTGTAGAGTCACAATGGGTTGGAATTGACTCTAAGACATTAAACAACACCAAACAAAGACTGACCTAGTTGTTCCAAGAGATAATAATTTGTTGTTAAGTGTCATCGGATTGGTTCCAGTGCATAGCAACCCTGTATAGGGTTTCCAAGGAGCATCTGGTGAGCTTGAATTGCTGACCTTGCTTGCAGTCCAGCGCATTAACCCGCAGTGCCACACCAAGACTCCTGAGATAGTATGTTGTTAGGTGCCATCGAGCTGGTACCAACTCATAGCGACCCTGTGCACAACAGAACGACACACTGCCTGGTCCTGGGTCAACGTCACAATCATTGCTATGTCTGAGCCCATTGCTACTGCCA